ATAAACTTCCCGGGGCTCATGCCTTTGGCCAGAGAGTAACCTTTGATCGTAAACTGGTGCGAACCATTCACCGTCTCGATGAAAGAGGTGGACACGGAATCAGGAATCAGCTGCTCTATACCACCTCCGACGGTGCTCATGATTCGCCCTTCTCCGCTTACGAGAAATTTTCCGATTTGGGAAATGTGAACTTCATAAACTCGAAACTGGATTAACCTAGAAGACTACGAGAGAGAGAGAGAGAGAGAGAGATGTAGCTTTGCGAAATAATGTGAATTTGGGGGAAACTGTGTTGGCCTTTATTTTTATTTTATTCATTTTAAAAATGATATAAAATGGACTTCTCGCCTTCTGTGGAGAATTTATAAAAAGGAACTTCAAGTTGAACAAATAGGAGATTAGAGAGTTCAATCCTGTCTTTAACTCTTTTCACAAAAACACCAGATTGCATGCAAACTCATTTTGAAATTTGTTTTCCGTTTCCAAAACGTTTCGAAAAAGAAACTTTCGAAAATACGGAAAACAATTTTTAATTTTTAAAATTTAAAAATACGTTAGAAACTCACATTTCTATTTTAGATCGACGAAGTTTTACATTTTTAATTTAGAACTCGATTAACAAATATTTTGATTTATAATAGGTAAGTAGTTACTTTTATACTCTAAAAATCTGATTAATTTAATTTAAATACACATATATAAAACAATATATATGATGTATAAAAAACACAAATTTATCGATTTGAGTGTTTTTTTTTTGGTGAAAATGGATTTGAGTGTTTTAGTTCAACTATTTAGTATTTATATTTTAGATTTACATGTTGTTTCAAACATTTTTTCTCTAAGATGGTTTTGATGCTTAGCACTTTTTAGAATATATAAGATTAACGTTTCCAATATCCATATCTTAATTTCATAAAAAATCGTTTCTCGTTTCTAAAACGTTTTGTTTTCGCGTATATGTTTCAGTTTCTATGCAACATAGTACAGACATGCTATTGAATAATTTCTATTTACAATATTCAAAATTTAATGATTAGAAATTTATTTTAAAATAAATGATTAGAAAGTTATTATTTTCATATAAATGATAACTATTCTTTTACCAATGTTGGTAAAAAGGTTTTAAAGTTTTATGTCATTTTTGAAAAAAAAATCAAGTTAAAACCAATTATGTTTTTTTTTTTTTTATAAATCCAATTAACCTAACAAAGAAACAAAACTGCCAACTAATAAAAGACACTTTAGCGTACAAAATTTTATGCAATTTGTGAACTTATAACTGAATCTGAAAGAAAAAGAAAAAAAAAAAACTGAATCTGAAATCTGCAAATTCTTTTGCAAATGTAGATTTACCGAACGCCAGAAAAATCCAAAAACCAACTCTTTTTGCCAGGAAATGAATTAATAACTGGAGGATCTTTACTAGCGAGCTAGCTCTCCTCTCTCACACAACACTGCTGTGCAGATCCAGAGATCGCTGATCCTTCACGCGCAAGCTAATGAAGCCTCTCACTAATGGCGATCTGCTCAAATCCCCCACTCTGGTCAAGATCTCCGCCTTAGTTCTCGTCACCGTCGCTTTCTTCTACTTAGGCAGGCACTGGTCCGACGATGGCTACCAACAGCTCGTCTTCTTCTCCTCTTCCACCTCCGGCAGCTCGATCCCGGAGGTCTCCGTCTCTCCGAATAGTAACAGAGTCTTCAATTTATCAGAGATAATTCCTGCTAACCATACCGATAATCGAATCCCAGCCACAGCACAGCCGCCTCCGTCGGTGGTGGATGAGACCGAGAAGGTTGAGGTGGAAGCTACTCCACCTCCTCCTCCTCCACCTTCTCCGCCACCTCCTTCTCCTCCTCCTCCGCCTGGTCCGGTTAAGAGCTTCGGGATAGTAGATGCTAACGGTATGATGTCTGACGATTTTGAGGTGGGTGAGGTTGAGAGCGATGCTGTGGAAGATTGGGGGAATCAGACGGAGATCGTTGAAACGAAAAGAGAGGGCGATTCTAAAGCTAGAGTTAGAATTAAGAAATTTGGGATGTGTCCTGAGAGGATGAGAGAGTATATACCTTGTTTGGATAATACTGATGCTATAAAGAAGCTCAAATCCACAGAGCGAGGTGAGAGATTCGAGCGTCACTGCCCTGAGAAAGGTAAAGGCTTGAACTGCTTGATTCCGCCTCCTAAAGGTTACCGCCAGCCGGTTCCATGGCCTAAAAGCCGTGACGAGGTACTCCTTTGTTTCCAATCTCTTGTTGAGTTTATGGGCTACTAAAGTTCCAATAGAAGTATTGCATTTTGGTTGGCAAATTCTGATAACATGTCCTGGGATTAGCTTAACTAGTATTTGGAATTTACTTATGGATAGGTGTGGTTTAGCAATGTTCCCCATACTCGGCTTGTTGAAGACAAAGGCGGTCAGAACTGGATTTCACGAGACAAGAACAAGTTCAAGTTTCCTGGAGGTGGTACACAGTTTATTCATGGGGCTGACCAGTACTTGGACCAGATGTCTAAGGTTGCTCATTTTCCACGTCGTAATTCTTGCTTAGCGTCACCTATCTATTTATCTTTTCATCTGATGTTGAGCTCTGGACTTGGTCTCTGCAGATGGTTTCTGATATCACGTTTGGGAAGCATATTAGGGTTGCTATGGATGTTGGTTGTGGTGTGGCGAGTTTTGGCGCTTATCTATTGACACGTGATGTCTTGACAATGTCTGTTGCACCAAAAGATGTCCACGAGAATCAAATTCAATTTGCTCTTGAGCGTGGTGTGCCTGCTATGGCCGCAGCATTTGCGACGAGGCGTTTGTTATATCCAAGCCAAGCTTTTGATCTTATTCATTGTTCAAGATGTAGAATTAATTGGACTCGTGATGGTAAGGTTCTCTTGTGTGCTTGATTATTCACATCAGAAAAATATTAAATTTGTACCTTTTGTAGTTTTTACTCCTTATTTGAAACTATGTCTTAGATTCTTTTAGATTTACGTATAGAAAAACATCTCATTCTGCTGTTTTTTTTTGTGTCAAAAAGATGGAATTTTGCTCCTTGAGATCAATAGAATGATGCGCGCTGGAGGATATTTTGCGTGGGCTGCACAGCCTGTTTATAAGCATGAACCTGCTCTGGAAGAACAATGGACAGGTACCATCTTTTATCTGCTTTGAGTAGGCCTGTTCAGGATAAGAAGATTCTCTGTTCTTTATAAATTTTTTGGAATTAGTGATCATGGTACGTAGCTTTAGTAGCGACATGAAGAATATGGAAAGTCGGAGTGACATATTGTGATATTGTCTCTGTGGGTATAGGGAAAGTTTTTTGTTTGTATTTGCTACTTTGATTCAGCTAATATGTCTACTCCTTTAATCTCGCATTTTATTTTCCAGAGATGTTGAATCTTACTACTAGCCTTTGCTGGAAACTGGTAAAGAAGGAAGGATACGTTGCAATCTGGCAGAAGCCTTTCAACAACGATTGTTATTTAGGTCGTGATGCTGGAACCAAACCTCCTCTTTGTGATGAATCTGATGACCCCGACAATGTTTGGTACAGCTGCTAAACTTTCTGTCTTTCTTTCTTTGTGATGCAAGGACATATCTTGCTACCTGCATGTGGAAGCATGAATAAAAGCTACATGTTCTTTATGCTGCGAGAGTTGCTAAACTTCATGTTTTTTCAAGTTATTTTGTTTGATCACATCTAGCCTGTCTATTAACTTGGTTTGTGACAGTGTGTGCCAAAAATCTCATGTTGTTTTGTTCTTGTTTTAGGTACACAAATCTGAAACCTTGCATAAGTCGCATACCTGAGAGTGGATATGGAGGAAATGTCCCCTTATGGCCTGCCCGTCTGCATACTCCACCTGATAGACTGCAGACAATAAAATTTGATTCCTACATTGCTAGGAAAGAACTGTTCAAGGCAGAGTCAAAGTTCTGGAACGAAATTATTGGGGGATATGTTCGCGCCTTAAAATGGAAAAGGATGAAACTAAGAAACGTTTTGGACATGAGAGCAGGCTTTGGCGGGTATGAAATACTACTTTTTTGTTATTACTCTCTATGATGGTAATAATGCCTCAGTATCTTAGCTTATCTCTGTTAACTTAATTTCTTTGGCTTTAACAGATTTGCAGCTGCACTAAATGATCATAAACTCGATTGCTGGGTTCTAAGTGTGGTTCCTGTCAGTGGGCCTAACACATTGCCTGTCATTTATGATCGTGGATTATTAGGAGTGATGCACGATTGGTACTGCTCTCCCCCTTACATTTTATCATAAAAAGCATAGAGTAACGAAACCTGATCTTTAGAATATAGAATCCTTCAAAGCGTTCTGTGACTCTTCTTGTTCTTTTCCTGCTCATGTTACATCTGCTATTTGTCCTTAGCTAGACTAAGATTTAGATTCTAGCTCAGGATGTTTTAATAAGTCTTGCATTCACCACAGGTGTGAACCATTTGATACATACCCAAGGACATATGACTTCTTACATGCTTCAGGACTCTTCTCAATCGAGAGAAAAAGGTAAGCGTTTTTTGTAACTCAATTTCAAAGTGATTTATAACTGACTAATGTGGTGGGCTGGTGCCTATATTGGAGCTTAATAATTTGTTGTTGTCTTAATAATGGTTAACAACGCATCAGATGCGATATGTCAACCATATTGTTAGAGATGGACCGGATATTAAGACCGGGTGGAAGAGCATACATTAGGGATTCAATTGATGTTATGGATGAAATTCAAGAAATCACAAAGGCTATGGGTTGGCATACTTCTCTTCGTGACACATCAGAGGGTCCTCACGCAAGTTACAGGATTCTAACATGCGAGAAGCGTCTCCTACGAGCTTGATACTAGACAAGTTACTGCACTTAGTCAACACAATATATTGTTCGGTAGTCGTTATTGCTTTTTTTTCTTCTCATTATGTAACTGTAAATTTGATTGTGGTGTTTTTACTGAGTAAAGTTTTACCTAATCCTCGAAATTTATTAATAACATTTTGCAATTGCAAATCTGTTGATTGTAACAAAAGGATTCATAGAAAAAAATCCCCAATGTCAGAATACAAAATCTTCCAACAATATGTGGAGTAGTAGTATTTAGGGACCACGTCTGCACAACTCATTTTAATGCTCATGTCTCGGTCTCCACATCTGTCCACGTTGGCTTGGAATTATTGACGCAGGTCTTGCAGAATTCACTCCATTCATATGAACTGATGGGTTACCAATGTGTCCCTGATTTTGACTTGAACCTGCAGGTGTATTTTTGAACGGTCTGTTCCCATTCTTATTTTGACTCTTCTGCTGTGTTTGAGTTTGTGTGATTACAGGCCAAGTTTGGCCCTGGACAGATGGTCGCCCCTGAAGATTCCTGGGGTTGTTCTGATACCAACTCTGTTGTGGTCGGGACTGTGTCAGTGGTGGCCAATATGGTGGATTTGGAGTATTGTAGCTCTGTGACCAATTTTGCTGCAATTGCTGGTTCCATGGCCTAGACTGACCATGCAGATTACGGACATTGTGTGTACCGTTTGCATGATGTTGATTATGGAGGCTTATAGTTCTGTACAAAGACTGTTGAATCTGTTGCCCTGTCATAACCCCAATGATGGAGTTTCTATTACAATCTGAAGCAAGGCGGCGTGATGTCATCTGAAATACTTGAGCTATTCTGTCCAAATTTCTACGACTCACACTCCTTGCAGCGTTCTGCGGCTGCTCAAAAGGATCTTCAACCTGAAACACACACCATTCACACCTTAGTCGGGAGACTCACATGGTGCCATAGAGATGACTATAACTCAGCAAGAGGGTACGAGAAAGACAGAGAAAGAGACGTACAAAGAGCGAGTACGTCTTTGGCAGCCATCTACTGTTGCTGCTTATGTTTTCCCATCTTCCAGTAAACGGGCAAACACCAAGTTCTTGGGCCTTCACGTTTATGTCTGAAAACTGATGGATACATCGACACAGCAAATCATGAGACTAATTTCTAAGAGTACTTTAATGGATGTAACACATTAAGGGAAACAAAAAGTTTAAAGCTAGAATGTATGAGAAATCAATCACCTTTGCAAAAAACGAGACCAACAGCTCTGAGAGTGAGCTTCGATTGGGTGATTTTGCTGTGTCTAATTTAAATCTCGCTATATTAGCAGCAGTAATTTGCGCTATACTTTCCTCTGCAGTTTTTCGTACACCTACAAGAGACCATCCCGACTTTTGTCTCTTTATCCCAAGAACTCATAAATTTTACATGGTTTGGCTTGAAACCTTTTCATAGTAGGTACCTGTCAGATCATCAGCCGCACTCTTCGGATATATCACTCTTAGAGGTGGCAAGATTGCAGGCACACAAGTCTGCACCAAACAACACAAGACATCGTAAGACTTCATGTTTTATAATGATGGAGTAACTGCAGAAGGCAGCGGAATATATGAATACAGAACATCTAACTTACCTGAAGATGGAAGATGACTAACAAACTGAGAGAATAAGAGTTGAAAGTCCCGTTCTTTGAATCGTTGATATTATGAGCTTTGGCCCATTCCTTCACCTATACATGGTAGAATACACAAGATATGATATGTCAAAGGATCAATTAAATCTTTTAGAAACACACAATCTGGTTTTATTTGCCCGATAACTTACTAGCAAAACCAGGTCGCGGAATCTCCCATCTATTTCACTGATCCATAACAAGAACCTGCTCTTCAAAAGTCCTTCCAGATTATCAATAGAAATGTCACAAGAAATTCTCTGGTGGCCACTCTCGACTTTCAGAATGGGAACTCGCGCATGAATAACAAATTGCAGTTTGTACCATAGACCTGTTTTTTGTCATGATAATGGAGGTGAGACAAATCGCCACATGAAAAGAATACATGAACTAGTAGAAAACTTAAATATAAGGGGAAAACCAGTGAAGCAAAGATTAAACCAACACGAAAAAAGTAGAAGCTACATGAATCACCATTCGCTCTCAGGGCTCGAAGCAAATGCCCGAGTAACTTTTGTTTCTGCTTCTTTCCAGTGAACAAGATGGAAGAACCGCTGAATAAGTCAACTGAGATATCTAAGTCTCCCCATCGTGTGAAGAGATTTGACACAAAGGATCCAAAAGGTTGAACAGTAGCACCTAACAATTCCAGAACCAGATAATGGGTTATAAGCAACTTTCTTTTTTTAAGTATCAGATGCAATCATTCGTTTACAGAACGAGAATAGTGAGAAAGACTAACGTTGAACCACTTTTACTGTTCTGCAACTAAAAATTCAGTAGAGATTACCTTACTGTAAAGCATAACTATCTCATTTTTGTTTCCAATATCATAATCACATCCATCGGGGGTATGGTTCAGGGCATTAATAGACAGTAGTAAGAAAAATGGGAGAAGCACAAAAGTGCAAGTCATCACCTCTTAAACACTCTACGGATTGTACTACACTACGCAACTGCTCAATCACTCCGATCCTCGTATCACAATCTGCTCGTGTAGGTTTAATCACTTGAAGAATTTCTTGAAGTGTAGGATCCAGGAAAGGGTTTCTCATCGTTTGGCTCTTCTACAACAATACCAAACGCACATTGCCAAGTTATGTCAAAGAAAACATTAGGAAACAATAACACAAAGACTACACAAGCTCCAATCAAAGTAAATTTTTATGATTAAACGACCGATTGTACCCAAAATCTCACTAAAACAAACGTCAAGGTCAAGGTTCCCTTTTCTCTATATCTTGCTCACTTACTACTCCCAAAGTAACAACCTTTGTCACTATAACCAAAAAAGCAAGATTCCCCATATTCTAAAGATTATACAAGACTTCAGCCACAACCAAATCAAAGTAAAATCTTGACATAAACAAGTCTATAAACCAAAACGTCATCAAGGTTCTATTTTTATGATATCTTTTGCTTACTTACTACTCCAAAGAAACAGCCTTTGGCACTAAAACCAAAAAGCAGGATTCTCCATTCCCTAAACCCAAAATAGCCCACAATGTTGCGTCATCAAAACTGTGAAAACTCTACCCAGAAACCTTATAAAAAGGATCAGTATAACGTGAGTAGTTGAGTACAGAGACCACTGGAGTTAAAGAAAGATGATTCGAAAGAGATGAAGAAACCTTTATCCCTAGAACCCAGAATCAGATAATCTAATTGCGATCTAGGGTTTTTTTTTTACCTCTTTCTCTCCCAAATCAAATTCCGTACCGAGTCACCCTAACTTGAGACTGCTCTCTCAGATGATTTTATGCGCTCGCAGCAGAGACATTGAAAAGTCTGAAGGTTTACTTTATTTTTATTCAATCTGACTAAGGAAACTTGTCTTTAATTTTTCTTATTATTGAATGATGTGACAATCTCTTTTAGCGGACCAATAAAATGAAGAGAATACAAAATATACTATAGAACCTTGTTGGAAATTTAAAATTTGGGCTAATTTGCCCAATCGCCAAAAATATAATAAAAGGGTATATACATTTTCAATGAAATATTTTGTTTTGCATTAAAAAAAAATTCTTATGTTCATTATTCGATCATGAATTATTTAAAAGGCCATCTAAAATCAGACCAGTGAATAGTATTTTAATTTACTTTCATTGGAAACATTTTTAGGCATTGCTTAATGGTAGTGCTTACTTATTTTCGAATTGATATGGTTGCATGCCATGGAAAAATATCTTCAAACAAAAAATAGTTATCTTTCTTATTTGGTTGGTTGTCCTACTCTAGACATTGTCCCATATATTAAGCATTTGCTTGAAGCAATCTTTTTAGCCTCACCACTTTTCACTTCATCTTCTAAGATCAATATTTTAGAAACACCTCATGTATAATAACCACAATTTGTTTTTATATACTTTGTGCAAGTAAAAATAAAAAATTTGTATAAACTTATATTTCTTTTCTTTTGGACACTCAAATCTATTCTTTACTTCATTTTCTTACTCAAACTTTTGTTATTAATTGTTTTTACATATACAATTAACATGAGTTTGTCCACTTCTGTGAGTGTGAGCAATCGTTTAGTTTCTTCAACATGTCTTGTGTATTCCAAAACTCATTTTAATATCATTGCATTTATGTTTGTTCTCTTTTCTTGCGCATGTATATATTATGTAGTTGATAGTGAATAGAGCCTAAAACTCAGAATTTGGTGATGCTCGTTCGTCATGAGACACCAATGGTTGAGTTAACTAAAGATTATAGAGTAACGAGGATGAATAAATAATCTGCCGAGACAATGAAAAAAATGAATAATCAGCCGAGACAAGTAAAGTTTACAATAACTTACTGTTATATTTTTACTACAGAAAACGAATGATTTTTAACTTTTGAGGGGACAATTAGCTAATGATACTATCATTTTTTGGAAAATAAAAGGCAGTTTGTAGGAACTAAAGGTCACTGAAGTAAAAATGTGCGCATCATTGTAGTTTGTATAATATAGGTACTGTGAAAAGTTAATTAGCATAAAATTGAAATCTTTTTATATTTTGCAAAAAAAAAGAAATGATTAAAACAGAATATCGACTGATGTGGTTAAGTTTTGGCAATTGAATAACGTATGACTGTTTTAAGAGTTCATATTGAAAACTTATTATGGAAAAAAAAGATATCAGTATGTCACAAACACATACATAGCCACAAGCAAGGTAAACTCTCCGGTAGATCAACTCCACAAAGTAACTTTCGTCTAGAACTTTGTTGTGTGGTGATGTTGCACTCCTTGACTCCTTGTGATCAATTCGGGTTAAAAGTGTGGTCAATCCTAATTATCTCTTCTGCCTTGGTAGAATGTTATTGTGATGTCATCCCATGCTCCCAAAACTTTATATCAACCAAGTTCATCCTTACCAAGAACTTGAACGATAAATTAAAAAACACTATGTAGGCTATATATCCTCAACACGGTTGTTTCGAGATGAACATTCCAAGGGAGTTTTTATTTTTTCAAGAACCAAACATTTCATCAAAACTTTCTTAAATCTTTCATATGCAATTTACATTAATACTGTGAGGGTAGGCCACATTTGTTAGCAATCGTTTAGGATCTTCAACGTATGTGGATTCCAAAAATCAGTATATATCATATTTTCAATGTTTGTCCTTTCTCTTCGTGTGCTTATTAGTAGTATGCACAACAACTAAATGTACAAATTGCAAGTAATTTAATCTCTCACAAAAAAAAAAAACGAAACACATATTTAGTTATCAAATAGCATAGAGTTACATGAAAATTTCACCTTCCAAGCTTTAGTTCAACACTTCATCTAGAAAATATATATAATTTCGGTAACCACTATCGTTTTGTATCTAGACCAACAATTTATGAATATATGATAAAATTAGAAAATATATAGATCCTATTAGCTAAGACAATTTCTCTCGGCCAATCAGTTTACACCGTATTTGAAAACATTACTTATCAATAAGTACTTGTCGTCGTCATTATCTAAAATTTGGAATGTTATCGTATGAAGAAGAGTGTAGAAGTATCTTGATCACATATGAATGGCTTACCTTAATCCTCCAAACTCAAAAAGAAAAGAAAAAAAAAAAAGAAGAAAAAAAAACAACAACAATGATTTTGAAAAGCATATGTGGTAATAAATAATGTTATAATCTTCACTCCAAAGCTCAAAACGAATCCAGTGGCACAGATCAGCCATTTCAAGACAACCTCATAAACATATGCCACGTGGACCAATCAAAACAGAATCCTCCTCATCACCTTCCTCGTAGCGCCACGTGGCGACTTGGCCAATCCGCATCGTGTGGCGATCAGAGGGTAAAGCCTCGAAGGCGAAGAGATAACGAATTGGCTGTTCGTTGTTGATCACTCGCTTTATAAATCTCTTAGTTTCTTGCCCACACCAACATCTCTCATTCACTGCTTCTTCTTCTTGCTCCAATCAAATTCTCTCTCTCCCTCTCTCTTCAGCTTCTTGTGTGTTGCACACTCGTCGCCGTCTTGAGATATGGCCGCCGCAGTTTCCACCGTCGGTGCCATCAACAGAGCTCCGGTACACTTCAATCTCCTCCACTAGAGTTTTTTCTTTCTTTTAAACGTGATCTTGATTACACTTATTGTATCCACTTGGGTAGCTTTGATATCTCATAGTTCAGTTCAAGAACTTGATCTCTGTTGCATCACTTTGAGATTCTCTGACAGAAGAATCTGGACTTAATCTAGAGATACTTTGATGTTTCTTTTATTCTCTACTTACTTTTACTTTGGAACTACAGATTAGATTTGTTTCAAATCCATGTAGTAAGGGGAGTACAGTAACTGAACTGAAACTGTAGAGTTTTGGAGGATTTTGTCAGAATTTGTTGTACTTTAGTTTTGTTCAAAGTTCAAAAGTAAGTTAGTAATAATACTTTGAAGGCTTGAACTATGGAACCAAAACTACAGTGTGGTTTAATCTTCAGCTTATTCCCCGGTTCGGTTTTGGTTTCTGATTGAACGCCTTTTATCTTTAGGAATAGTCTCTAAACCGGTTCTTGAACCTTTATGAACCAAACTTGAATTCAAGATTGAGTTTGACCTGTTTGTGTGTGTGTGTGTTGCAGTTGAGCTTGAACGGGTCAGGATCAGGAGCTGTATCAGCCCCAGCTTCGACCTTCTTGGGAAAGAAAGTTGTAACTGTGTCGAGATTCGCACAGACCAACAAGAAGAGCAACGGCTCATTCAAGGTGTTGGCCGTGAAAGAAGACAAACAAACCGATGGAGACAGATGGAAGGGTCTTGCCTACGACATGTCTGATGATCAACAAGATATTACCAGAGGCAAGGGTATGGTTGACTCTGTCTTCCAAGCTCCTATGGGAACCGGAACTCACCACGCTGTCCTTAGCTCACATGAGTACATTAGCCAAGGCCTTAGGCAGTGAGTTTTCATCTCTCTAGATTTCTCATTAGTTCATTACAGATAATAGCATCTTGGTTTTAAATTGTCTTTCCTTGTCGGAATATAGGTACAACCTTGACAACATGATGGATGGGTTTTACATTGCTCCAGCTTTCATGGACAAGCTTGTTGTTCACATCACCAAGAACTTCTTGAACTTGCCTAACATTAAGGTATTTATTTAGACTTTTTTTTTCATTTGGGTGCAATTTTGAGTTATTACACATTTTTTTATATCTTGAAATGCTCTGGTTTTTTTTTTTCATAGGTTCCACTTATTTTGGGTATCTGGGGAGGCAAAGGTCAAGGTAAATCCTTCCAGTGTGAGCTTGTCATGGCCAAGATGGGTATCAAGTGAGTCCAATTCCCAAAACCTGACCCATTTATCGTTTTGTTCTCATGGACAAAATCTAAAAAAAGTTTAAAAAACGTTTTGCAGCCCAATCATGATGAGTGCTGGAGAACTTGAGAGTGGAAACGCAGGAGAACCAGCCAAGCTTATCCGTCAGAGGTACCGTGAGGCAGCTGACATGATCAAGAAGGGAAAGATGTGTTGTCTATTCATCAACGATCTTGACGCTGGTGCGGGTCGTATGGGTGGTACTACTCAGTACACTGTCAACAACCAGATGGTCAACGCAACACTCATGAACATTGCTGATGCCCCAACCAACGTCCAGCTCCCAGGAATGTACAACAAGGAAGAGAACGCACGTGTCCCCATCATTGTCACTGGTAACGATTTCTCCACCCTTTACGCTCCTCTCATCCGTGACGGACGTATGGAGAAGTTCTACTGGGCACCTACCCGTGAAGACCGTATTGGTGTCTGCATTGGTATCTTCAAGACCGACAACATCAAGGACGAAGACATTGTCACCCTTGTTGATCAGTTCCCTGGTCAATCCATCGGTAAGAAACATTCTGGCTAACCCAATCTTGTATATATATATAGGAACTTGTGCAGATCCTAATTCATTATAATATGGACAGATTTCTTCGGTGCTTTGAGGGCGAGAGTGTACGATGATGAAGTGAGGAAGTTTGTTGAGGGACTTGGAGTTGAGAAGATCGGAAAGAGGCTGGTGAACTCAAGGGAAGGACCTCCCGTGTTCAAGCAACCCGAGATGACTCTTGAAAAGCTTTTGGAGTATGGAAACATGCTTGTCATGGAACAAGAGAATGTCAAGAGAGTCCAACTTGCCGACACCTACCTCAGCCAGGCTGCCTTGGGAGATGCAAACGCTGACGCCATCGACCGCGGAACTTTCTACGGTAAAGACGAGGTCTGAACTCCTTTTTTTTTTTTCTTTCTGATTTGGTTAGCCAACTGCCTGAATCAAATTGGATATGAAACTGTAAAAGAGGAGGAGTTGAAAATAGGAATTAAGGTTTCTGAAGTTAAACTTTCTTGACTTGCAGGTAAAGCTGCCCAGCAAGTAAGCCTGCCTGTTCCTGAAGGATGTACTGATCCTGAGGCTCAAAACTTTGATCCAACGGCTAGAAGTGACGATGGAACCTGTGTCTACAACTTTTGAGTATCCTCCTACTTATTGATTCGCTGTTTTACTCCTATTCTCTCTTTTGGGTCTTTTTTTTATTCCCCTTCGTGTAATTGTGGATTGGGTCTTGTCCTCTTTTCTTCTTTTTTTTTTCTATGATCATGTGCAACACATTGATAATTTAAAACTGCCTTATCATAAACTACATTTCTTCTTCCTAGCCAAGAGTTCAAAGATTTAGGATATGAACCAAATCAATTTGAAATAGACAAAACGAATGAGATAACGAAGAAAGCAAGAGCATTGACAAAAAACATGTATCAACCAAAACATTATTGACTAGTATTCTACAAAGAAGAAATCTGATAGAACTCTTCTCATGTTGCAGTGTTTGTAATCTCCATACTTTTAACTTGAGAAGTATTAGTAGATGCACATAACTTTTGTTTAGATATATAATCCAAGACGCCATGTGATCACAATTTATTATATAATGGCTCTTAAACATCCATGGCAGTTCAGGCATCATCATACATATATAAAATCAATGTTAAGATTTGAGGAAAACGAATCAGTTTCCTGTCTTTTTCAACTATAATTCACTAGAGCCTAAGGCTGAGAGCAAAAATATCAGGTTTTAGATGCAACGACCTTCACCGAGGAGAGGCTGACAATGTCGGGGCTTTTGAGTTGATCGAGTTGTTTAGTACCTAACCGAAGCAAATACTCGATGTACTGGAAATTCTTACGGTCGACCTCCTTAGAGTTGTGGCGGAATTCAGTTGAAACGATCGACTCTATTCTCTTCCTGTCTTCTGTTGGCTTTGAACGAGCTGCTCTTAGAAATCCTCTGTAGAGACTCAGGACTTGCTTTTGCATCCCGGAAAGTTTCGCAGCTCCCATTTTTTCACTCTTTAACAAAAACCAAAACCAAAACAAGCTCATTAGTTTTCATGAACTACACACTTTCAAAGCTTGATCAAAAGAAAAAAGAACTACAGTTTCAAAGCAGAGAACAAACAATTAAGCTAAAGCAGCACAGTGATAAGATAACACTGTAGCAAAAAGAAATCAAGAAACATATAGTAGCAGCTTAACAATAGAAAAAAAAGTAAGCGTGGCCATTTGCAAAAGGCATAAAACAGACAAAGAGAAGAGGTTCTTCGAGCAAAACAAACAAATGTTGGCCTCCGATTGTGATTAACGCTGTTATATAACCTGAGAGACACCAAGCAATTGTTGGAATCTGAACAAATACTACAGTGCGAAATCTAGTGAGTAAGCAAAATAGATTAAGAATGAAAGATACCGTATAATCAAAATTGTGACCAACAAGGATTTTTCAATACCATCAGTTGTTAATAACTCAAAACTCAGAGAACTACTAAATAAATATACTGGAAAAAAACTATGTAATGTTACAACATCTTATTAAACGAGACCTCCAGGCTGTTTCAGCACACCAATATTCCACAGAACTGGCCTAATTTCATTTCCCAAAATAGAATAGAATATTTTTACCCAGATTACAACTAGAGTTTACGAGAAAAATTCTCATCTACGAGTAGAAGATTTTGGAACATAGAGATGCACGACGAAAGAGAAGAGCAAGCGTACCTGTAAATTTCCCAAAATCAAAAGAACGAGAAATGGAAGAAGATACACAAACTCTGGGATCCTCATTCGGACACGGATCAATTGAATAGAGGCGAATTTACAATATTTACCTGGGCTCTACTGGGCTTCTATTTATCGACTCTAATGGGCTTTTTGTTGGAAGTTGGTTTATTGCTTAATCCTGCAAAAAGAGAAACAAACTGAGGAGTGAGAAGATGTAAGAAGAAGAAGAATCGAAAGAAAGATAAGTAGAGGTGTTGTGTCGTGAATGAGGAGGAAGAAGAAGAAAAGTCAAATGAAGTTGCTGGGCCATCAGGTGTTAAAGCCCATATATATAAATGGGTTCTAGAGTTTTTACTTTTTAGTAGTAAGTATAGGTTAAGGATAAAGCATTAGTATAAATAGTGTTGTAGTGTATTTTTATGTTGTAATGCTGTAAGAGAAGACTCATCATAAGATTAATCAGAAAGAGATCTTAATAAGCGGCTCATCAAAAACCTAAGCAAGTTAAGTAACATTGGAGACATACAAGAGCCGATCTCTCAGTGTTCTTAAGATTTTGAGAGTATGACAAACAAATCAAGAACAATAGAGAGATGAGATGAATCTGACCAACACTTTTTCATCAAATAAAATCTTCCTACATTAATTTTGATTCTATAGTACCATTAATTAATAGAATATAAACTATAAATGACCCTTAATACATTATTTAAAATTTTAAAAACACAGTTTCATTTGTAATTTTATATAATAATTTAAAAAAACCTCAACCATTTTACAAATATTAGTTAGTGGGGGTTATGGTTAGTTATTAATTCAGGGTAAAAAACAGTTTGAAGAAGAAGAAAAAAAAAAGAAACCGTTTAAATAAATAATTTTACAAACAAGGAGCAGAAAAAAAAAAAGCAAAAAAAGAGAAGAAGACAGCACACGAAATGGACGGTTGGGTATAAGCCAATTCTGTAATCTTTTTGTTTAACACAAATCCTTCATTCTCTCTCCCTCTCCTTCTTCTTCTCCTCCCTCCTCCCTCCTCTATCAGAAAACCTCAAATTTAGTCAATCAGAATCCCAGATGTTGTTATCTTCTTCTTCCTCCTGAAGATTTGATTTGATTTGGTTTCTCTCCCCCTCCCCCTTTTCAGATCCCTATTCCCATGGCTTCTGGATCTTACTGGTGTTACAGCTGTAGCCGATTCGTTTGGGTTTCCGATTCAATCTCTTGCCCTGATTGCGACGGTGGTTTCCTCGAACACATCCAGGAATCTCTGGATTTCACACCTTCCGATTCATTCCACCGTGTCACCACTACTAGTCAACATCGCAGCCCCACTCGCTTCCCTCTTCCCTCTTCTTCATCTATGCACGCTTCCACCGCCGAGAACAGTCCCACTCCCACCAGCGTGACTCGTACTCGGAGCAATCGATCTCCTAATCCGGTTATTGTTCTCCGTGGATCTGGTGGTCCTTCTGATGTCTCCGAAGGTTTAGATCGGTCTGCTTTTCAGATGTATTACGATGATGGTACTGATTCTGGTCTTAGACCTTTACCACCGAGTATGACTGAGTTTTTGCTTGGTTCTGGATTCGATCGGTTGTTAGATCAGATCTCTCAGATCGAGCTTAACACCAATCGTAACAATCGTTCTTGTGAGCATCCGCCTGCTTCTAAATCGGCCATTGAAGCTTTGCCTCTCATCGAAATCGACCCCAATCATCTCCAGTCTGATTCTCAATCTCACTGCGCTGTTTGTAAAGAGAATTTTGTTTTGAAATCGTCCGCTCGTGAGATGCCCTGTAATCACATCTATCATCCTGATTGTATCCTTCCTTGGCTTGCGATACGAAACTCTTGTCCGGTTTGCCGTCACGAGCTGCCGCCGGCAGAGGATATTAGTGATGGAAGCACCGGTGGTGCTTTGACTGTTACTGCTTCCGCGGAGGAAGAGGAAGACTCTGCTGCGGGGTTAACGATTTGGAGGTTACCAGGTGGAGGATTCGCTGTAGGGAGAATCCCCGGTGGTTGGAGGGGAGGAGATAGAATGATGCCGGTTGTTTACACGGAGGTTGACGGTGGTAGACTCGGCGATGAGAGACTTCCGAGAAGAGTAGCTTGGGGTTCGAGGAGAGGAGGAAGAGATGGGAGTAGTAGAGAGAGAGGTGGCGGGTTCGCGGGTCGGATCATGAGGCTTTTTGGATGTTTTAGCGGGTCATCTGGATCCATTGCTGCTGCAGCATCGTCCGGGTCTGGGTCGAGAATTCGGGTTACCCGTAGGACGAGGTCGTTCTCTCTGTTTAATACGTCGTCTTCGTCAAGGAGACGAAATTGGCTAGCCTGATTAGTAGAGTTATCGTCCCCGGACCTCTCTCAGGTAAAACTTAAAAAAAAAACACGAAAGAAGAACACACTCTTCTGTTTAAAAAAATTTCGTTTGTTCTTTAATAAGTTTTTGTTTATTTCAGTGTAATGATTATATTCTTTCCCAAAATTTGAATCTATGCGAGTAAATTGATACTAAAGTTTAGGTGACATAGTTTTTTAAGTTGTAGTTGAAATGGTTCTTGAATAGTCAGAGTTCTTTTCTATGTTATTGTGAATAGATACTTGGGACTGTAGATGAATTGAAGAAGATTCATAGTTGTTCTATTCGTAGAAATCGTTACGTGAGATTATGGATTGTGACACAAATGTTAAGTAGCTTAATAATTTGTACCAATCACAATCGTTTTTTTTTTGGAATCGATATTTTGAGTCATTTCTGTGTATATGTAATACACGAGATTTTAACAAAAACAAAGTTGTTTTGATTTAGATTTTCTCCAGTTTTGAGTATTTGTGGTGTGTGTGTGTAGAATATGGGTTTCAGTCAGTGAGTACACGTACTTACACCACTCGATATTTAGTAGTGGTGTCTTACAGTTTAGGATATAGTAGAGTTGTCCAAGCTAAGGTTTCCATTAATTTACCTATTTAAGTTGATGGTTTTATTATTGTTCACACCTAAAGAGAATTATGTTACCTAAACTGTACAGCTATAACCTTCGAAGTTCGAACTGCAGCACAACAAACCAATAATACATAATATACCTAGAGGCTATAGAAGAATCTCTCATAAAGCGACCAATTTAGTTTGATGAGTGAGGTGAGGTCAATAACTACAGCAAACGTGAAGAGAGAAAAAAGCAATAATAGAGTTTTTAATACAACGCATCTGATGATGCTGTCGTTTATTGGAGACAGGCTTTGTAATGTAGCCATTATTTTTCATTATTAGGTTTTGTTTATGCTGCCCTTTTTTGTTTCCTATGTCAAATGCAATCTTACTGTTATCACAGTAATGAAACTGAATTTTGTTTTCTATATTTTTGGGTCGTCAAACATAAAACCATTTATCAACACTTGCTGACTCGAATGCTTAGCGTTTTTTTTGTTTCAAATTTTCGTCTTTGAAAATCGATTGCTTTAAGACAAAAAAATGTTAAGCATACAGTATCTCTGTTAATAAACACCAGTAAAAGATAGATTCTGTCTTGTAATGCTCATGGAGTCATCATGTATCATAAACTTAACATAGTGGAAGTCCAGATAGTATCAACGTAGATTATCATCACCAATATACTTGTACATTATGCTATTATCATTAAGTAAGTAAACACATCTCTCCTTTGATCACTTTCCCTGAGGGAGGCCTTGTGTAATATTAACATTCTTAGATATTGTGACTCTAAGCCCAACACTATATTAGTCATGGTCTGTTTAACACCCAGTATAAGGCCTATATACACCATTGAGAATAAAATTTAAATACTAGCACATCAACGAAATACAAACACTTGTCTTTAAGATAGGCTGTTCTTCTTCTTTTTTAAAAAAAATTATAGAACTGTATATCCTATTTGTTATTATAAAATTACATGATAAAACTTCGACTGTGTTATAGCAAATATGCGACAAATTTTTTCATAATACAGTTTTCTAAAGCATGTTATAAAGGTAGTTAAACACTACACTATGTCATTGACCCAATTTTGGAGTAGACATGCTTATTCACCAGTGTTACTTTACTTTTTGCTTATTTTCAACCATTCACCCATACATAGATCCATATTTCATGTTATGGTCGTGGCCCTCATATGGTTGTATGTATCACTAGGAAACTTTAAAAACCACACATGTATTAACACATACACATATCACCAAGGAAAAACTCGGTGATTTAATATTTTAATTTAATAATTAGCTAGCAAAGCCAAGTGATGTTAACGGGTCAGAGAAGTTCACATAGACTCGTAACTCACTGATTTGCTTCAATCACTTTCACACTCATAATCAACTATTGGATTATCCACTTCAATCTCTTTTAGATCATAATACTACAAACAGAAAGATTGGGGTCCCCATACACAATGGTCGTCTGTATTTGCCACGAAAAAATACGTTAGAATACAAATAACGCATTAATTCTAAATTGGACTTTACTTCTTCAAATTCGTTTTTAAGTTTTTCTTTGGTGTTGTTTTTTCCACGAACGTGATAACGCCAAAATGCTGTATAGAAATTGTAGGAGGGGCATATACCCGTTTGTCTATTTTGTGTTTGCAAGTGGGCGGGACTGATAATAGTGTGAAAATGCACACAAAGATGATAAAGAAACATTCTCGAGATTGGTTTGGTCCATAGATCACATCCAATCACCCCTGAGAATAACAATCCCAACAATTAATGCTCGAGGCCGCATTAGTTTTTCAACAAAGGCTGTCATAATACTCTAGTATTTTATCGTTTATTATGTCTTGTAAATGGAACTTTACAAACTATGTAATTATTTTTTGGTATCCCATTCCGGTTCACGGGTGATCCCCTAAATCTAAACTTATATCAGCAATATGATGGACTATTCAATGATGTTATTACATAACAATGCATATTAGATAATTGATACTAATTTGTATGACTTAATTAATTTAATCTACTGCTTTTCTCAGTTACGTACATTTTGACGAATTTGTCAAGCGCTTCATTGTGATTAAGTGTGGTTTTGACCACTAAAATGAGACCTTGTAGCTGTTACCCTATAATTTTATTGGTTGAGACCAAAATATATTTGTTGGTGCTTGGTTGAAAGAAAAAGGAGTTATTTGGTAACACAACAGGAAGGAGTTGGTGAGGATTGAGAACGACTTAGGAATGGGTTGCCTCCAGCACACATTTAACAAACCTTTTTGTCGATTTCATCACCACCTTTCGCCAACTTTGACAAACTTCGCAAAATTACAATATACAATTCAACTTGCGTTTACCTTAAATATACTAGAAGGCAAGCAGGACTCGGTTTGACGTGTTACTATTGTGAGGTTACGACCTATCTTAAACTTTTAGGAAGTACTTTTTTATATTCAAAATATCATCTTTAAAACAAGGATCTTATACAAATGCACCATTTATATGTTTCATATACGAATGTATTGTATGTTAGGTGATTAGTAACGTGGGACGGAAATGAAAGAGATAATATAAAGAAACAAATGTGTTTCAAACTCATATGGAATTGGAAACATGACACGACAAAACAAGACACAACTACAACATTTCTTATGTTAAAAACTAATTTTTAACTTGTAACCTTTTGGCGGTCCCTTTTGATTTGTACGTAGCAATTTGGACGGCATATTTACTCGGTAACAAAATACTATTTACAGTATTACTATAAGCAAGAAGTCATAAAGTAAGACAAAAAGATTGCAAAATGTTAGATGGATTATGTCGGTCGTGAGTTATATTATTTGGGAGTTACTTTTTGTCAAATCACCAAATCAGTATCATAATCATACTTACTGTAAGTGTAACAACTTTGGGAAAATATAGATTGGTCTTAAAAGATTAATAGCATCATTCAAAAACATAAAGAACAATCATTCAAACTCTAATCTCCAACCCATCCTTCTCTTTTTTTACTCGTGGAGGTGGATTATTGAATTTGAGTAATAATACTTTACACGATATCACTTAGAAAATAAAAACAAATCTTCCAAAAACAGAAAGAAAAATTAAAATAAAAATGTTAAGATCCCGGAGAAAGTGGGAACACGAAGAAAAGAAAGTAGAAAAACAAAGTTGATGTGAACTACAGAGACTAAACAGAAGACACGGCCAAAAAGACCTACTCCTCCACTCACTCCTCACTTGTCTTTTGAATCATTTTTTTTTTTGTCTCGAGACTTGCCTCTCTCCAAACCCTAAAACACACATTCAAATGTATTCGACAACACAAAAATAAAACCTTGATGATCTTCTTGAAATGATCTTTTGTTAGGTCGTGACAAAATTATATGTCTTCTGAATAGTAATTCTGGTCTTTGATTTGACTAGCTACTAGAATTATTGCTTACAAGTTAACTCATGTTTTTTCACCTAAAATTCAAAGTATGTTCGCTTGGCATGATTCGAGTAAACCGAAACGAACCGGAAAATATCCGTAATTAAGAAATCAAGAAAGAAAGAAAAGAAAAAAAGTGACAATATTTAAAGACGTCAAGTATGTATGTAACAAAGGAGTCTCTAGACAGACTTATAATGATGGCTTCGTCGTCATCATCTCCAACTCTGTTTCTTCCAATCTCAATTCTACTTCTCATTTTCCCTCTAACGTTCTCCAAAACATCTTCTCCAAACCAACCACTCATCTTCTCTCTCAAAACACAGAAGCTTCCTCAATCTTCATCAGACAAGCTTTCCTTCAGACATAATGTTACTCTCACCGTCACACTCGCCGTCGGCTCTCCACCGCAGAAAATATCGATGGTTCTTGACACAGGAAGCGAGCTCTCATGGCTTCACTGCAAGAAATCTCCAAACTTGGGATCCGTGTTTGACCCGGTTTCATCATCTACGTACTCCCCTGTACCTTGCTCCTCACCAATATGCAGGACCCGGACCCGGGATTTACCCATACCCGCCTCATGCGATCCGAAGACCCATCTCTGCCACGTAGCAATCTCTTACGCCGACGCTACATCAATCGAAGGCAACTTAGCTCGCGACACGTTCGTTATCGGGTCTGTGACCCGACCCGGTACGTTGTTCGGTTGTATGGACTCAGGTTTAAGCTCCGATACAGAAGAGGACGCTAAATCGACCGGTTTAATGGGTATGAACCGGGGATCTTTATCGTTTGTAAACCAGCTCGGTTTCTCAAAATTCTCGTATTGCATCTCCGGTTCAGATTCCTCCGGTATATTGCTTCTCGGTGACGCGTCCTACTCCTGGCTCGGTCCAATCCAATACACGCCTTTGGTACTCCAATCCACGCCGTTACCGTATTTCGACCGGGTTGCTTACACGGTTCAGTTAGAAGGAATCCGGGTCGGGTCAAAGATACTTTCTTTACCGAAATCAGTATATGTACCGGACCATACCGGAGCTGGTCAGACAATGGTAGATTCAGGAACACAATTTACGTTCCTAATGGGTCCGGTTTACACGGCCTTAAGAAACGAGTTCATCGCGCAAACCAAGTCGGTTCTCAAACTGGTGGACGACCCGAACTTTGTGTTCCAAGGGACCATGGACCTCTGTTTTCGGGTTGGGTCATCAACACGGCCCAATTTCTCCGGTTTACCAGTGGTTAGCTTAATGTTCCGTGGAGCGGAAATGAGTGTGTCGGGGCAGAAACTGCTGTACCGGGTAAACGGAGTCGGATCAGAAGGAAAAGATGATGTGTATTGCTTCACATTTGGAAACTCCGATCTTTTGGGAATAGAAGCATTTGTCATAGGTCACCATCATCAGCAGAACGTGTGGATGGAGTTTGATCTTGCCAAGTCAAGGGTTGGCTTTGCTGGTAACGTCAGATGTGATCTTGCTAGTCAACGGCTCGGATTAAGAGACTGAGATAGGACTTGTTTTAGTCGTATATGTTCCTTGTGGAAAATTTGGGAAATATCTTGTTTAGACCATATATATACACATTTATATATGTTTCTGAGGGTTATAGCTTATTACTATGGAGTTTGTGGTTCATAGAGTCTGGGAAATTTTGTAAGAATCTGTATTATAGGAAATCTTCATTTTGTTTTAGGTTTAATAATTGATGTTAGAACTCGTTTAAATATTTTGGTATAATCTCAAAGAAGTGTGAATCGAAGTGTTTCCATTTATCCAAATTTAAACTTCTGGTTGTGTTTTCTATCAGAATCTAAACTACAATGGATCAAAAAACTGAACGGAACTTACATTTATGCTAGGATTTTAGTTTTTTTAAAAATGTTCTGCTAGCTAGGATCACTCCATTGTACAAGGCTTTGTATGCACCAAATGATTGGGCTTAAGCCCATGAGTTGTTTATTTGAGAAAAGTTGATGCGAGCTTTCTAGTGGGAGGAGTCTAAAAGTGGACAATCGGTTTGCTTCGACCACATAGTCCATTCCTTTCTCCGTGAGATTCACCACTTTCGTGCTTAACTCATCAATCAGAATTGATGCATCACATGAAGTGATAGATACACTTTAACTAGCACTAGGGATGTTAAAATAAGTTAAAACCCCCAACCTCGTCTGAACCAGCCAATATACATCATGGGACTTCAATTCCTAACTTATGTTACCATTTGTGTCAAATCTCAATTTATGCGAAACTTACAATAGGATAAAAAAAGTTATAAATAATAATCCATTTTAAACTTTTACATTCAATAGACGTCTCTATATATCGAAATGTTTTTTATATATAATTGTGAGAAAAGGTCTCTTCTAGTTTTTATTTATTTATTATTGTGTTAAACTTTAATTAGTCTAGTTTTTTTTTATTAGTGCAGACAAATACAAGGAGGTAACATAAAGAGACAAGGCATATCAAGGAGACCCAAGTCATCCCATATGCTGGTGGGTATCCATATTTGTTCATGTGATGCTATCAAAGACCCATAACATTTGCCCTCGCACAAATAAAAAAGTTTTCTATGATTTCGATTCTTTGAATCTTTCATTTTCATATGATACCTACTTTTATTTTTGTCTCATATTAATAGAGGATAAACAATATGTCGACTCATCTATATATGTCCATGCAAATAAAAACGTCACATACTCTTTGTATGTTTGCCATTGAACCTGATTTGTAGATTATCATAGCGATTCATAGGACCAAATTTTTTCAATAAAATAAAATAATACAAAACTTAAGATTACAATACAAAAAAAAAAACAGTAATCAAATAAATACTTGCAATGGTCTCTTCTATCCAAATTAACCCAAATTTCTAATCCTAAACTTAAACGTAATTAATCCCAAATCTTAGAAAACCAAAAATCCAAAAACCGGACCCATTAAAACTGAACTTTCCATGGATTCCCATATATCCTGAAACTATCCGAATAATGGATGCATGTATTTCTTATCATTCGGGTGATTTTGTCTCTAGTCTTAATGTTATTCAGGTTTGCGTGTCACGGATGTGATTGTTGACCAAACATGGACCCTAAACTTACATTTTCTTTTGTATTTATTTCAAAGAATGCTTTTGGATCGATCGAGTAATTTTTTACCCATTTGCTAGACTAGGGACCTTGAGATTCCTATTATTGATATCTTGTTTGCATCTTATACAAACTAAATATGACTCGGACAGGTTTGTTAATTAGCTCGAAAACGAAGTCAGTGATCACATCTAAAGACGATGAATACTGAACATTATTGTGTAGGTTAGTTTGTGTTCCATATCACGTAGAACCTGTTCTACATGGAATAGATGATAGTTCTGTAGCATTTGTTACTTCGTAGATAGAACTGCTAATAAAAAGAACACACATCGATCTATATATGTTTTGTCTTTCGGAGGAAAGCTAGCGAGCATTAGCATTAGTAACATTTTTTCATTAGTTTTGATAATGATAAATAATGGAAGTAGAGTAATAAATTAGTAAGTGGCGATTGATATATAATAAAATGAACAAGACGGCCACAAAAGTGACAAAACGAATAAAGAGAGTCAAATGGAATTTGTCCGGAACTCCGGATATGTCTATAATAATCCAAATTAAGCATGCTAATGAACAAAATCAAACAATTCATAATCATTAAAACAAAATATCCTTTGGATTTGTGGGGATGGGGCTAATTTACGCTTTTTCTTTGCCAATTATTTTAGTTTATTACCTCTTTGATTCTCGAACTATATGGAATATCCTTTATGAAAAAGTGTACCACTTGGCTTAGTTAAAGATTTTTGTAAGACTAATTACACTCTTGAGGAAAAGAAAAGAATTGGTTCAGTTTTTTATTTTTTGGTCGAAAGGAATTGGTTCAGTTAAAATGCTTATTTCCCAAGTAATATAAGTATAGTCTTATGTTTCAACAAATACCTTCTCACTCGTATTATATATATAAACCATTTGATTTTTTATTTCGGTGACAATCATATCGATGTTTTCAGCAAGATAGATATATCAAAATGTATCATAAAAGTCCAATAACCTAAAAGTGGTAATCTCGTTTGTGAATCGGCAGACTTACATCGTGTACTGATTTGGTAATTGGTGTACCCAAGAAATCATATTGTAGTTAATGTCACAATTAATTTCTAACGATACAGTTTCGTACTAGTAGAGAATTTCTTCAAATGCAGTCATTTATTTTTGTTTGCTTGCAAAATAAAATATATAAGCCATATAGGTTCAAAATGCAGAGTATAAAATAAAATAAAGAGTCAGATGCATATGATAGCTTCTGCGATGCAGAGATGCCCATGGTAAGAAACTACAAGAAACCCCAGCTGTTAGTTTTTCCCATGTGAACTAGTACTTGTAGTTAGTTTCCACTAATTATTCAATTACTTCATACTCCGATTGCTAATTTTCAATTCACGAGAAAACTACTAAGCTAATGAAGGTCGTATTGTAACTGAAAAGTTAAAACACAAGAAAACATATATATATAATTGAAAAACCAGATAACTAAATAGATATAATCCACGTGTCTTGCTGTGATTATTCCTTTCATCAAAAGAAAAATTCACCTCCCATATTAGCCAATAAAAAATCTCCCTTAGTTGAGAAGAAAAAAATCTGTTAACCTCAAACAAAAAACTATTACGCATTAAAAAAATTCAATGTCATCAGCAACGAAATAGCACTAATCCAAATAACTATATTCTGAAAGCCTTGGCATTAGTATAATTATAAAAGGAAGTCGTAATCATATTTAACACATTCTAATATCTTTTGATGTAAATTTGAACAAGTCTAATGATGGCCTAGTCTCACTTAATTAAACAATTCAACAAGTTTAATTGATTTTTTATACTATCATTACCCATAAACAAAAGAGCTTGACTGCAACTTTAAATATTGAAATCAATAATTGACACAACAAAAATATAAACCATAATAATTGTTTTTTTACTAAAAAAGAGAGAAAAAAAAAAACTAATAACTTTGTCAGACTAAGCACACAAGATCCACACATAGCTTAATTGTAACACTTCCAATGGAATCTTTTGTCTCTCTCCCTCTCTTGTAACTCTATAGACTCTAGAGAGAAAGAGAAACAATACCTTTCATTAGATCGTCGTCGTCTTCACAGAATCACATTAGTAATATCATTAATGAACAAGATGAAGAAGAAGAAGAAACAAATAGAGATGCAAGAAAACAAAAACAAAAGAAAGGAGAAACAAACAAAAACAAAACGTCACAAGAAGTCCAAAGACGAATCTAATTTCACTACTTTATATCATCAACTTATTATCATACAATTTTGTTCAGTTCCTTTTTTTATTTTATTTTTCCGAAAACATCTTCACACTGAAACAGAGAGCTTCTTTAAACCAAAGAAACCATAACAAATCTAAAATTTTGATCTAAAACAAGTACAGAAACCAAAAGAACATAGAACCCCTTTATGTACATGTATATCTATCTACTTCGGTTTCAGAACATAGAAACAGAGATAAAGTGAGATTTGTGTTCTGTTTTGTTTTTTTTCAAGAATCGGAGTAATTATCTCTCCAGCAGATGAGCATGATAACGCAGCGACGCATGATGTAGAAACGAGCTCTTTGTTCTTTAACCAATCTCGCACACTTCCTCGTAAAAGCACATCTCCCCTGTTTCTTGCCGTTGAAGGCAGAAGATGAGGTCGACGAAGAGCGCGTGATCCTCGACGCGCCGCCGTCTTTCTTGGACAGTTTCCACTTCTCGTCAAGGTGGACGCTTCCCGATCGAGCCAGCCCTGACGAAGACGCCATTGATGTTTAAAGAAAGATCTCAGATTATCAGATACTATTTGCTGGTGTTGTGATCGATCTCACCGATAAAGAGAAGGAAAAAAAAAAGATAATAAGGGTTCGTTGGAAATAGATGAAGTTGTGAGATGAAAAAGAAGAAACAAACTTGGGAATTTGGAGATTTTCTCGGAGTTTGGAGATTTTTTTTCTGAGTCAGCAACGGAACAAGAGTGTTAGGGTTCTGTATTTATAATGGATTTTTTTTTAAGAGAAAATATATAATCGATCTAGAAAAAAAAAAAAAAGAAAAAAAGGAGATGGCGTCAAAATAACAAATAAAGAAGATAAAAATAATATCAAAAGATAAATAAAATTTTGGTTTTGTATTTGTATTCTTATGTCGGTTTTAGTGAAAAATAAAAAAAATGGAAGAGGATGCAGAGAGTTGTGGCAGTCGGTATTGCCCGGGGCCTTGTTGTTGTTCTTGTGCCTCGATTGCCCCCACCATTACCACTTTTATTATACTACTTGTGAATGGATTTGTCTTTAAAGTTTAAAACTAAACACCTCAATTAAAATCATATAGTATAAAAAGAGGAAAAATCCAAACTAATTACGATTTTTTTAATGAAAAATATTCTTAGAAAACTATACGTAAACCAACTTTATATCTTGTGAGAATCGAAGAGCGCAACGGTATTATGATACGTTTCGAGGATATAGTCACGCACCTGTTGTAGTAAACAAATATTTATAATCCTAATTCCTAAGCTTCTTTTCTTTGTTCCAAACTTATTTAGTGTTTAAAATCCTTTTTCTATAAGATGTAATTTATACTTTAACAAAAAAAAAAGATGTAATTTATATATAGCCACTAATATTAGCGAACCATAAATAATGACAAATTAATTTGTAATTTCGTGTTTTTTTGTGTGTAGGGTTCATCCCGTATTAGTATTACTTACATAATAAAGAACAAACAAAGGCTATTCCTAACCTCAATACAAATTTGCTTAAAACATAAAAGAAATCACAAAAACATAAAAAGAAATCACAACAACATTTAGGAACCTGAAATCTGATCTACAGCCTTATTTTTATCTATGTTCTGTAATTATATTTAAACGAATATTCACTTTAATAAATAATCTCCACTTGAAAATCATGAAAAAATTGTAGTCTAAAAAATCAATTTAGTATATTTCCTAGAAACATCATACACAAATGCTTTATGAGATAGATTTTTTTCTTTCTTATTATTACTTTTACTTAAAAGGAAAATCATGAGAAACGTAAACTATAAGCTCCTTCGTATTTAAACACATATAAATATAAAAACCATATATTACAAATGATCCGTTCGATAGATCCCTTGGCTAACAGTGTAACCAAAAAAATGAGTGCTTAAAGTTTTTCAAGTTTTGTGATAGAGATAATATTGAAAATGTTAAAGTAGATCGGATCAGTATGTTTTGGGATTCTCCTATTCCAAAAATGAATTAAAAAACAAAAACAAAAAAAAAATGAAAAGAAAATTGGAGTTTAAAGAGGGTAGGAAAAAAAAGTCAGAAAGTGGGGAGAGTGAGTGAGTAGGAGAAGAGTGAAAGAGGAGGTTTGATTTAATGCATCAAAGCAAATCTCAGTCTCTCTGCACCTGTAACTGTTAATTACTTTGCTCAGATCAATTAATTATTGCACCAACAACAAATATGAATAACTTTTTATATCACTTCATAGTAACACTCATGTATTATTAGTATGTGTTTGTGTGTGTATATAACTTAATTTTATCTTTGTAACTAGCTATGAATCTCTTTTACCTGATCATGAATTTTTTATACAATCTATTTCATTTTTACTGTGGTGAAGAAATGAAAAGAAGAAGAAAAAAAAAAAAGGATAGATGAGAAGATCAGGAAGATGAAGAAGGAAGGAAGATATGTGAGATCAAATCACATGGAGGTGTTAGTAAAGCTGGTTTGGCTATTTTAGTGTTGCTATATTTTGCCTGACTTTGATGTTTCTTTCTCTTCTCGTTCTTCTTTTATTGGCTTTCCCCTCCCGTATTTTTCTCATTTCTGGTAAGTAACTGTTTTGTTTTCTTTATTTTTTCTCCTTTCATTTCTTTAAAGTTTAACAATAGGTATTTCATTCTTAATCCCGACTAACACAAGTCATGAGTAATGATACAACCGGATTTGCAATGAACCTGATACAACTTTAAACCCTATAAAAACGCTAAATCTAGAATTAAACTTAAGAAAAATAAACCAATTGGAGGGTAAACTGATTTTTATTTGGTTTAGTTAAAAAGGTTAAAAAAATATATTAAAGAGACAAACCAAAGCGGTAGTGGAAGACCAATATTATTGGGCTTACAGTCCAACTTCATGAATTGGAGATTAAACAAATGAAATTTAACTAATTTAAAGGGGAGTTATCATTTAAAGCAAATACAGCAATACTAGACTTTAAAGTTTATTAGTAAATTTTGTTTACATGTAATTTGAAAACTCTCCAAACTCGAATTCACAGAGAGATTAATTATACCATGTTCATAACATCGAAAACACCATATTATGAATTAAGCTTCTGGGGGTTTATAGTAGAGTAATAGTTTATATGATTACATAATATTATGCGACAAAACAAAAACAAAGTTTGCTGAAAATCTCTTAACATTCTCGTGTTGTATGAACAAAAAAAAACTAAGTAGAAAATGTGTAAATGATCTAAATTTTTTTTGACTAGACGCCAGAAGTAGATAAATACATAAACGCGTACATCCAAAATGTGTCATCCATCAATCCAAAGGATGCGACGTCTGTGTATTGTAAGCTCACTTTTACTTGTATTATTAAGTTTTTCTTGTTTGTTTGTTACTTACTTTTCTCCGGTGAATTTTCTTGGATGTTTCTTCGTAAAACAATTTTTGATGTTTTTTTTTTCAAAATAATTATACTACAACCTGTATACTTAACTGCATGTTCATTGTAAATATAACTATTTAATTTATAATTTGGTAATTAAGAAAATTTACCAACATATGCTCAATTAAACATAAAATGACAAAAAGGGTGAGTTCTTTACTAACCTTTGATAGATGCCAACAAAATTTGGTGAGACAAAAACATAGTGAGTTACAGTCGAAGAGTGTGACAACTCTATAACTTTTCTATCAAAGACTGTAAATGTAGAAAAAAAGCAAAAATTACTATGCTGAAATAGATTCTTGTGACCTGAAACTGGAATTCAATTTTATCTTCTTGCTCAATGCTACAAGTATATCAGGAATGATGATGAGTTTGTATAGGTTTAGTGAACAAAGAAAATTTAAGAGCAATATATTATTATGGAACATCTTTATTCAACTGTATACCCATAGTTGGACGAGGTCCATTGTAGATTCTGATGATCAAAATTATTCAGAAATGAAGTATTGATGGTTGAGTCATATATGTTTCCAAAAAATGTAACTCTATAAAAAAGAAACTCATACTAGCTCAGCTCTCATTCCAGATTCTGACATAATACATTAAACAACTCATTTAATTATAGTCTAAAAAATCTTTCACTATGATATGCCCTCAATTATTAATATTCGCGTTTCTCATAGTCCATTTAACACACCACTCGAGTTTTAGTTTAACTGTAAAAGATGTGTAGTAGTAAAATAATAAACAGTGAGAGAGAGAGAGAGCAAAGAAAGGAAACAAAGCAGAGGTCAAAAGAGAAGAGATCGTTGTGGTTCTTTTGGCGTCGACGTTGAGGGCACGTGCGGCCAACAGGTGGTCGTGACCACTGACACGTGTCCGTAGAGATGTGTGAAAGCGAGGTTTCGAGTAACGCACGGGACCGACTTAGCCCGCTTACCGGCGCTTCTTTTTTTTCCGGTCAACGGTCAAACCTATCTCTTGCACGATGAGAATCTGCAAACTCTAAAGCACGTGCTCACCTCTCTTACTTATCTTCTTCGATCCCTAAGTTCTTCTACCTTCGGTCGGGTTCAATTTCTGTTCATTGTTTTCTTACTCTCTCTATCCATAAGTAATAAGGAACCGATATGTTAGCTAGTGGGTTAAGTGAAACACTCGAACGTTATAACTTATAATACGTTTCTAAGATGGCATTGCATTTTTAGACTCTTTATTCTCTAGTGAATTCTTTGGAGTCATCCAATAAAACTGGAAATGAAACATAGAAATAGTAACAAATGTTTGTTATATGGTAGATTAAAGAATGAAAAGAGTTGCATTTTGATTTCTCGACATTAATTTGTGTAAGAATTTATGTTTTTGATGGAAGAAAAAGATAGAGAAAATGAATGTGAATACATGAATGTGTGAATATCATCAATGATGCATGCGTGAAAGAAAAATAATATGGGTTCATATTATCATATATATTGGAAAACGAATGGGAATATTAATACTCGTCACATGCAATTTCTGACACGAGAGACTATTATGGATAAAAAAGAGCCACGATATATTCCATTTTTTACTAAAGTTTTTTTTAAAAGGGTATCCAAATTTGTTTTTAAAAATCTTTGATATAGAAATCCACGTAATTATTGAAATCAAAGGCTAACTAATATTTTTGTGATTAAATTTCACTACGTAGAGAAGACGTGTGTTCCAATGCCGCAATTGATAAACCTTTAGTATACTAACTTAAAACTGAAACTGTCCTTTTGAAGTAGAATGGTTTTGTGTTCATGCATCTGACGGTATGAAATTCTGAATCGTGTGATGGGAATAGCTTAGTAAGATATGGAAGACCAAGCTCTCGATAAGTGAGCTATAAATTTAACCGTTACGAGGTTAAATATGTTAAATCCGATCGAGAATATTACCATTATCTTTGGTTACCTAAAAACATCGCTTCTATATATAGAAATTAGAGCCTCTGACAGTAACCGTTTATTTCTTCTTCAATTTGTGTCGATGAAATATGAAAAGTATATGTATATAAAACTAACGAATACAATGGTCTACATTTCACAACGTAAATGATCTTACTTCGTTTTTTTATCTTTGTTTTTGAGAATATCTCACATCAATTTTCAAATCAGATGCATGCATGACAGTGGTGAATTAGGTCTGCCTTGGTTAAACTGAAGTAATGGTCCCAAAGAGAGATTAAAAAGCTAATCCAATCTCTGTCTAGCATAATAATTATGTTGATATGTTTGCCTTCTTACTATTTTTGGGGTTGCAGATCTCTTCTATTGGTTGGTTGGGCTTAACATGCATTGTTTAATTATAATTACAGAA